CCCCAAAACCCCAAAACCCCAAAACCCCAAATCAGATGATTTTTATTGAATTTTCCCATCCAAATATTCTTCTAGAATTTACAACTCCTCAGTCCACTGATATTTGAGTGGGTGATTGATTCACCCAGCTGAGATGAAAGCAAGATCGTATTTTAGCATAGGGTTTACCTCAAGTATGTCTAAGCCAATGTTTCTGACAAAGGAGAGAGCTTTTCCAACTTTCTCATTGCCGAAGAAGGTATCTTGGAATCCCTTCTTAAATGCTTCAACCAAAGCTCTGGCCTGTAGCTCGTTAAGTTTAGACAAATGAGCATAGTTCTTTAAGCAAAATGGATAATTCCCAATATCTCCACCACACCTAGCCTGTTTGATAATCTCATTGGCTAAGATTGCAGCAGATGTGATGTTGAGATTAAAACCATGAGCTGTTATTGGGTGCAACTTCATTGCAGCATCCCCTATCAATGCAACTCGGGTATCAGCATGATGAATAGCACTCTGAGACTTCAAATCATATGCTCTCGGTCTGAACTGAGAGGCTTCGTTGGAGTTGACTACTAATGGAGGCATCTCGTAATTATCTCTTGGCCAAAAGTTCGGTAAGATTTCAGAGTATCTTCCAAAATCATATTTAGATCCCTCATAAAATTTTCTGTTAACCTCACCAAAGAAGGCTTCATCAGGGATGCTTATCAACTCTTCTGCGAGTTCATCAGATGCTGACCATACAAGTTGAGAGTAGTTGCCCCACAAAGGCATTAAGGCTATTGGGCCTGTGGGTAAAAATCTTTGATAGCATCCTTCTAAACTCCTTTCATGGATTAAAGTTCTGGTGATACACTGCTGGCCATAAGGATGTGAAGTAGATTCAATATCATGAGCCTCTCTGACATATGAGTTCTCTCCATCATTTCCAATAATAAGCTTTGTTTTAATAATCCGGCCGTCTTGAAGTTCAATCGTACTTGTTGATTCATCCTTACCTGGACGGATAGTCTTAATTTCTTGTTGAATGACTTCTCATTTTTCATCGTCTCTCACCATATCATACAGAATAGATTGAATATGATTCCTTTCGACTGATGCACCTAGAGAGTTTTTTCCAAAATAGTTATAATCATGAGAAGATAGTGTCTCATTATACACCCTCTGTTTGAACTGTGAGATGAAATCCTGGTCAATTAATTGATCATTAAAGGACACATAGCTTTTGCCGAACATTTCGTTGACGAACAACTTCTTGTAGGGTGTTATTAATTTATGGTTCATTTTGTCCAGAGCACCAAGGGAATGAAGGAACTGGAGAGTGCTGAAGTTAATAGTGGTTATGGGGTTTTGTCTTGAGAAGTACTGAGGTGTGTCCTGATCAGGGATCTTTTGAATATCGGAGTTATTGTAGTCGCTGGATGAGGGAAAGGGAGCTTTGTGGACCAAAGTTATCCTTTTATGGGATTTAGATGGCTGAAAGAGCTCGGTCTTGAGGAGAGCAGCAATTGTGGCAATTCCTGCTGTGTCGTTCCCGACTACGGTGATATCACTATAAGTCGAATAACTTCTTCAAGTCCTTAAGCTTGCTCTATTCCATTTTCTTGTTCCTAAATTTATCATCAATTATTTATACCTCCCACGGGGTTTTGGGGTTTTGGGGTTTTGGGG